TTATATACTTTGATTTGCCAACAGAAGACAATATTTATCTTATTAGAACATATATTTTTAGGTGTAGTACTGATTAGAAATATTTTATATGCATCGAAAACACACTTATTAACGAAATATGTTGATTCTCCTCTAACTATGCTATGTTTTATACAAGCGGTCTTCCGTGGTGCACCTGTACCAGCTTTAGTTAGTTTCATCATATTAAAAGTTGGTGAATCCTCTAGCCTACGAGGAAGTAAATTATACTTAGACACGCCTGACTTTTCATGGTGGCAGTAAAATTTTCTAAAATATTAAATATAAATTAACTTCTTAAAATTTTTATAAAATCCAATACTATAAAATAGAAAAATTCAAGGATATTGTAAATTATAAATTATGAAACAGACCTCAAATAATAACGTTAATATTAATATTGAATTTCCAACATACACAGGTAATGGCGATGTTTTTCTAAGTCGTTTCGAAGACATATTCAACGATGCTCAGATCTCTGATATCGAAAAAGCAGGATCCTTCACAAGAAGACTACCAGACGAAGAATACATCAAGCTCAAATCGATATGTTCACCTACCGATTTCATCAATCCATCGATATTGATTGAAAAATTTAGGTTATTACACCCGAGGAAATCTACAAGTTCGAAATTGTTATTATTCAATGCAGCTGTACAAGGTAAAAATGAAAGTTACATCAATTGGGTAAGTAGATTATGTATTTTACAAAATGAATGTTCGTTAAGCGATAGTAGAGTCATTGAAAAAGTAAAAATTTCATCAAATAGCAGAAGTATCAGGCAGAAAATTACGTTGAAAGAGAATATTACGTTAGCAGAAGTCTTTAGTTTAAGAGATGATTTTGAGGAGACAGAATTAAAAGAAGATATAATAGCTAAAGTTGAAAACATTTCTTTAAGTGAAAAGACTGAAGAAGAAACAAGCGTAAAACATTTGGAAAGACAAAGAGGCATGAAAGTTGAAGAAAACAAACAGGTGGTCAGATACGACGATAGACATAATCCACGATCGAATAACGATAACAGACAACTATGGACTACGAGAAACAACAACTTTCAAAGAAATAATTATCAGGGAAATAATTACAACCCTAGACATCAGAACTATAATGCGGGTAACTACAATAACGTTAGGGCAAATTACCCAGGATTATACAATAATTTTTCAAGATTTGAAAATAGAACCAGTTATAATAACGATAATAACCAAAGATTTTATTATGATTACAATCACGGATTCAACAGACGCTATGATACTTCAAGATGCACGCAAAGGCATAGTAATAATTATAATGGAAATCGAGGAGGAAGTTACGCATGTAATTGTAGACATCATGTCGACCATAATAATCAAACACGATACACTAATAAAATAAACACCATAAACATAGAAGAAATAAAAGAGGATGATAATAATAAAATATAAAAAAAAGAATATAATTTGTATAACTTGGACATAAATAATATGGATGCTGATAAAGACAACACAGATAATAACGCGTATAAAGTAACTTTAAAATTGAATAACCTGTCAACGATCATGCAGGTCGATACTGGCTCTAGATTCTCAATAATACCTAGTTCGATAGCTAAGAGCGCAGGCATCACTGAATTAAAGAAATCTAATTTAAAATTAACAGGCTATGACGGCTATCAAATCAAAATATTAGGAACGACGCAAATTAGCGTAAATTATGAAGGAGTAACTAAAAATTTACAAGTGATCGTTGTTAATAGCAATAAGAGTCCATTACTTGGCAGAACTTGGCTAAGTGCCTTCAAAAATATTTTAAAAAAATTTGTGGGAAAAACCAATATCAAGCTTCGCTTAAAGCAAAATGCTGTACCAAAAATAATACCATCTGTTAAAAAAATAAATTCTTATAGATTAGAAGAAATAAATCATTTGATAACAATTGAAGAAATTATAGTTATTAAAAACAATAATGAAACAAAAATTGAAGAAAATAATAAAATAAAAAATTTTATAATTAATAAAAAATTTAAAAAAACTTTGGAAAAGAAAATTAAAACAAAGGTGATTAAATATCATGATGTTGAAAAGGAGATTAAGAATACGATATGGAGATCATATGTTGAAAATGGAAGGAGAAAGAGAAATTTTGTTATAAAGAACAAGTTAAAGAGAAATTATGATATAAAAAAAGTGTTCAAATTGAAAAATAAAGGAGTAAAATTTAAAAATAAAAATAATTAAATAAAAAATTATAATATAAAATGAAACAATTCCAAAACGGAAATTTGTTGTATGATATAGATACTGGGAACAAAATTATAAAAAGACACTTGGACCAAATAAAAAAAAGATCAACTAATGTAGAACTATCTTCTAACGGTGCAACAGTTTTTTAAGCGAATGTTAATAATAATGCATCACCTTATACATTGAATTTTAGAAGGGGAGGTGATGAACCAAGAAACCAAAATGTACAAGTAAATGATCAGAATCGCAACGTTCAAAGACCAGTTAGAAATAGTGTGTTGCCTAGAAAATTTGAAAATTTTATAATGAATTAAATTTGATAATAAATTTTTTTTCTCTTCCTTATATTAAAACAAAATTAGTTTTTTTGTGTGTGGAACTAAATTGATAAAACGTACAACAAAAAAAAAGATCAACGAAGAGGTTAACGAGCAAGAATGACAAACGACAAAAATTATAGAAAAAAAAGAAAAAAGTGTGAAATGTTAAACAGTATTAACTTTAAAAAATTGTTTTTTTTTACATCCTTAAGCCATTTATGGCGTAACTTAAAATATTTCAAATGTAATAAGAATTGTTTCTTTCTTTTTGTTAAAAACAACTTTTATATTTTAAATCAATTTGTTTATAAACTAATATTAAACTTTAAATTTTATAAAAAACAACTTTTATATTTTAAATCAATTTGTTTATAAACTAATATTAAATTTTATATTTTATAAATCAATTTACTTAATAAACTAATGTTCAATTTTTTATTTTTAACTTTTAAAAAAAAGATCAATTTATTATAAATTACATTAAATTAAATTGTCAATATATATAGAAAACTATTTTGAATTATGTGATGATTATATTTTTTTAAATTTAAATATCAATAAATTGACGTAATATACGTTTATAACATTTATTTTCTGCCTTTGATTTCTGCAACCTTTTCATATATATATGTATTTTTCTAAAAGGTACATATTTAAGAAGTGGTGGATATCGATCATTTCATAATCTATAAAGCTGCTTTATTATTGATTATATCAACGGTCTATAAATGGAGTGCTCCACTCGACATTTTCAAAATTTTTGAGTTAGAAGTGAATATAATAACTTATTTATTCCCAAAATATATATAAAAATAAAAACTGGATTTAAAAAAATATTAATCTTTGCCAAAGTTATTGTCAAAATTGATCAATAACTTTTTCCTGTAATTTATTTTAAACTTTTAAATGCTGATTTTCCCATTTTAAAACATTTACGCAAAGTGGAGCACTCCAATTCTAGACCGAATAATATATAAAATATAATAAAATAAAATTGTATGTACTTTTTAAAACCATTGTACTTTTTTTTTAAATATAATTTTAATTAATATTAAGCTTTATTTATTTTATTAATTTTTACAAAAACGTTATAAAATATAGAAATGTTTTGAATCAAATCTGCACAACACTGTATATATATATAACTTTGTTTTTTTTATTTGTTCCCCAGTTAGAATTTCTCGATATTCCGTAAATAATAAATATTTTGTTTAATAATTATTTTTGTTTAATAATTATTTTTGTTTTACTTTTATCAATCTCATCTCATCCCATCTATTATACAAGGACCCATCCATGGCTGAATTATTTCCCCACCTTTTCTATCAAGCCGATAGTTGTTTCTAACATTAAATCGATAAAGAACGAGATGAGTTCCAAGGCCCCGCTGCTGCCTCATCTCGTGGATATTCTGCATTCTGGGTGAAGGATCAAAGAGACAAGTTTTGTAATTTCCAGTTAGCAATAATAATTTTAACGAACGTGTAAGAACCAAATAGAGAATGACAAATGCTTATAAGTGAATGGCAGAGAGAGCTAAAGGTGATGCAAAGCTAGACTCCTCGGGTCGAAGATGAACTTAACAGTTTGACAAGATGTGGCACTCCGTAAATCATTTAATATACGGCTAATATGTTTGGTAGAAGAGCATTATAGGAGTAAGGGATATAAAAATCCTAGTTGATTACAGAATATAAAGAACTACTTGGAGCAAGATGAAGGTATCCCATGAATATAACTTGATATATACAGTTTGGTTTCCCGACATGTTGGATATCAGCGAGATCACGACGGATAATATTAATTTAGCTCAGCTCAGACTGACGCCTAAGCATTATAGACCTCGTAATTCTCAGTAAGAATGTTCGTTATAGAATAAATAACGTTGTTTATTTTGAATCACCGTTTGGTCTATAGAAAACATGGCGAAGTGACGCGCCCTTGGCTAGGTCCTTTTACATTTATTGGAATCGATAAAAAAAATTAAAATATTTGGGGCAATCATGATCTAATAGAAGAAAAAAAAAATTAATTTTTTTTAAACATTTTAGCTAGTGTCGTAAGCGTTTCTAAAAAATAAATCGAACGCATTCGCGTACAACTTCAAAAAAATAGACGCCGTACATTCCGTTTATAGTTTTTTTTCCGGAAACAAACTCCGTTCATGAACGCTTCCGCAACACTAATTTTGGATAAAATTCTAAACAACCCAGGTTTCTATTTTTAAAATAGGATATAGGTTTTTACCTATTTTTTCTTCTTTCTTTCTTTTTTTCTTTTCTTTTCTTTCTCTTTCTTTTCCTTCCTTACTTTTCTTCCTCTCAAAGAAAATGGGAACGCTACATGTGTTGCTTGTACATACATTCCCTAAATATATAGATAAACATGTAAAATAAACAAAACTATAATTGTAAACAAGTGATAGTTTTATATTACCGTGGCGAGTTGGTGAAATTTGGCCAGTATCTGATTGATCCTCACGTGTTTGAGGCTAGAGTGGGACTTCCAACGCTTTGCATTTTTAATACTTTGCTCGCCAGCTGGGGCGATAGCATCCATCCTAGCTATCAATATCTCCCCGCTCAGTTTGAGCAGTTGAAAAATTTCTGACCCGTTCCCGTGTTCGCGAGGGAACTCGAACGAGTTCGGTAAATCATCACGGCGATCGGAAAATTTGGAATAACGGTAATCCGATGTTTGAAAATCCTCCAATTCCGACATAAGGTAACGGCACAAGCAGTCCATAGGTAAGACCTTTTTTTTTTTATAAATTAATAATGATAAAAGATAAAATACATTTTTTTATACGATGACCAGAGTGGATATCGAGAATATCGGTTCAGAGTTCGAGTAAAATGTCAACGACTCACTTCCGGTTTTGAAACTTTTCATAAAGTTTTTTGGTTTAATTTATTTTAATCTATAATACCTTTCGCTGGATTCCCAAGAAGGGGCCCATAATTTGCATTTCCTTTCTATAGTAGAAAAGGGAAAATTCGATCGGTTCGTTTGTAAAACCCTTATTTTTATTGCTTAATATATTTTAAAGTGTCCATTTGTAGATAGAACAATTGGGATGATGATATAGTTTAGTTAGTTTGGTGTATTTCCTTCCTAAAAGGCAAGACCCCCTTTTCCCTAGCGGGAAACTTGAACGTTTTTAGTGGGGTGCCTTGGCCTTAATGGCTTTTGGACCCCATAGCGTTTATTTATTACGAAAATTTAAGGGTATTACAAGGGATAAGTGAAATTAAATATAATTTATAACAAAACGCTCAAGTACGAACGAAGACGATGGAAAGGACAATGAGAAAATACCATTAATGGCGAGAATGTTTAAAGTAAAATATCTAGGGAAGATTAGAATTTTTATCCGATAAGTATGAGGAGACACAAGTGGAGCCCTAAATATTGAGAAATCAATATTACACCTAAGTGGGATACTCGTATTTTAAAGAGAAGAGAAGAAGAAGAGAAGAGAAGAAGAAGAAGAAGAAGAAGAGAAGAGAAGAGAAGAAGAAGAGAAGAGAAGAAGAAGAGAAGAGAAGAAGAAGAAGAAGAGAAGAGAAGAAGAAGAGAGAGAGAAGAGAAGAGAAGAAGAAGAGAAGAGAAGAGAAGAGAAGAGAAGAGAAGAGATGTTTTTCCGGCAATGCGTTAAATTTAAAAATCTGATTTTACCGAAAATATATTCCATCATGTTTGGAATACCTATCTTATGAATTGTAGACAATTTTGCTGTTAACCTTTGAGTCAGTTATAATTTATATAAAAAAATATATGGAAAACTTAATATAAATTACATTAAAAATTTTTATACATTAAGCAAAATTGATTGGTTTTATACTCTTAAAATATAAAGTTAACAATTTATGTTATTTTAAAAAATAAAATTTGAATATTTAAAAATATATAGTTTTAAACAATTTTTGTTCATTCAAATTAAATTCTGACGTTATTATAAAAGATTAAAAGTCTTAATTCTTTACTATATATCGTTAATCTAGAAATTTGCATAGGTAAACATTTTTTTATTTATTAGTAAAGTAATCCTAGTTTTAATTTTTGGTAAATATAGTCCTTCTCATAACCAGCAACGAAATTATCAAACCGACCCCGTTTTCCGTATGTTCCATTTGGCACTGGAAGAGCATCGAAAACGAACACGAATCGAATAATTCGTAATCGAATCATTTGAACATATCGGATAGTTTACTATTCGTATTGAAAAGGATAAATCGAATTTACTTTTCTTATTTGATAGTGCAGATATAATTGCGAATAATTTGTTATTCGATAAAAGGCCTAATTGGCCTTAACCCTAGTAGAGGTCTGCAAACGGGCCGGGCCCTAATTCTATTTAAAATAATCGGGTTCGGGCCGGGTGGGATCGGACCTCGAAAATTTTATTAAATATATCTAAATTTATCAATTTTATATTTTAATTTTTTAATGTAAAATAAAAAATTTTTGATTTAATTGAAACTAAACGCTATACAACATACGTCTTTTATTTATAGTAATTATAAAAAATTAATTTATATATTTAAATAAATTCGGGTCTGGCCGGGCCGGTAAATTATTTTAAAATAAATTTCGGGTTCGGGCCGGGCCGGGCTTGAAAAATTAGGCCCGATGCAGATCACTAAAACCTAGTATTGTTAGACGGCTAGATTTTTTTTAAAAAAAAACGGCTAATCCTCCAATATTTTAGCAAAATATGTTAGGCAAGCCTGGAGATTTTGCTCGTAAATGTTGCAGAAAGACTCGCATAACATTTATGGCTAAATACGCCCCTTACCCTCAAGTGCTAGTGTCGAGAGATTATTTAGTAAGGCAAAACTTATACTTTCTGATCGTCGCTCTAGACTTGGGGATGATAATATTAAAATGATTTTATTATTAAAATGCAACAAATTACCATAAATATTTATTTTTATTACATAATTTTTTTTGAAATCATGTAAAAAAAATTTTTTATAAAAAGTAGCTTAAAAAGTAGCTAAAGCTACTTTAAAAAAAATAGTAGCTATAATAACGAGCTACTTTTTTTTGTCAAATAGCGATAGCGGTAACGCTCTACTTTTTTTTAACAAATAGCGATAGCGGTAGCCGGATATTTATACCCTCCCCCCCCCACCCAAATTGTTAGTTTTTATTTTTACCTTTTCACCATTAATAGTGATTCTGTAATAGAACGTTCGACTTTTTTTTTTATTTAAAAAAAAAAAGACGCGATTACCGCCATATTTAAAACGTTTTGTTTTTAAAAAATTTTATTTTCAAATTTAGGACTTGAGATTATTTTAAAATTTAAAAAAAAATAAAATTAGAATTGTTGATTTCAAACTTTACAAAAAGAAAAAAAAAATTATTTCCGTTTATATTTTTAAAAAAGTAACAAATGCCTCAATTTTGGATTCACTTATAAGGCGTTCATTTCTTACGTTTCTAGGAGAGTTGGAAGGTGGACGATGAAATGGGGGGGGGGGGGGGGTAAGGGTATTAGTAAAAGATAATGGAGGAATTAAGAGAGGTAAGGAAAGAATGGTTCACCCATTCTGCTAAGATACCTCTTGTCCCCTCACACACCCAAACCCTCATTCCATCTGGTCAAATTAAGTCCTCCTCTTTTGGCCCAGCTAAACCCCGGAAGATATAATAACTTTGGTCATATATAAATATAACTATTATGATTTACTATTAAAAATATTATAAACCATATTTTTTTTAAACTAAAATGGGCTAAAAAAATGACAAAATAAGTAATTCGATTGGTTGATTGGTTCAAAAAAAAAGTAAAAAGGAAAAAAAAATTGTCTTAAATTAAAATCTAGATAGTTGTCATAACAAAACGTTTTTTAAGCTGGGGTCAAGGAAGGCACCAATTATGGTTAGATTCTTTCTGGAGTCCTGAAAAAAAGAAATTAGTTTATTATATATTTTACGTTTATTATATCCAGCTGATTATTTTCGATGAGATTAGATAACCAATCGAGATCACCGTGGGATGATCGGGAAGTTAGGTCGGCATTATGAGCGTCGAAAGCCATCGTACCACGGGTGCCGTTCTCCGCGCTTTTCAATTTGATCAAATCAAGCAAAATGTCGGGGTGCCTGCAGGAGCAAAGTTTGAACCCCACCTTGTGAGTCTCGTTAATAATTTCGAGCGCTTTGAGAAAGCTCTTATCGCTAATACAATTTTTTTTTGTTAAAGAAGATAAAAATATATTATAAGATGGTAAGAGTCGAGGTCCGGTCCATGGTCTAACAGGACGAAAATTTAAAGATGGACTCCACTCAACCGGTCAATCTAAGACCGATGGTGAGCGGGCCATTGATCTTGACCAATCCGAACTTCAGTTAATAAATACGTGTAATACCTATTGCCTATATCGATCATACTGATTTCGCTATTCAAAGCGCCACCCATTGCGCTATTTTCTTCGGGACCGGGCCATCTCCGCACCATCAAATCCCACGCGTCCCCAACGCCTAACCTCGAAAGAGGCTCGTCGCTAACGTCCATGATATCGTTTCCTTTGGAGTAAGCTTGGGCCGGAAGTATTACGAGACTTTCGGCCGAGAAAATATTGGAATCCTCCTACATTAAAATTAATTTAATAAATTTCCTTTCTTTCATTCGTTACCCCTAAACATAAATATGTATTTTTATTCTATCTAAATGAATAAAATATCGCTTCATATTTAAACAACATTGCATCCAAAAGTCTAATATAATCCTTGTTTAAAAAAAAATTGGGTCTATGCCGATCTACAGATCTTTACACTGATCCGGTATTTTTTGATATTCATACAAAACCGACCCGATAACCGATCAAGTATGGTTTATATTTACCATCTATCTTTAGAAACCAATGTTATAAAGAAAAAAATCGACATATCCTATTCAAAATAAAACAACTTGGTAATCTATGACAAAACAAGGAATAAAGAACATTTCGCCAAAGGCCATATTTGAAGCATGGTATTATCGCGAATAATTAGGCGTTTTATTTTTTCATTTTCCCCGATAGTTATTCGTCTCATTTAAAATAAGAACATCGCTTATGGTTGAAACGTGACATAAAATAAAAAATAAATATTATATTATACACAATCGTAAAATACCAAAAACAATCTTAAACGGCGCATGAATATCGACTTCATAGCCAAAGTTTATTTTATCAACTTTTCAACCATATTCCTATATTCTTCTTCTTCTAACTTTTTCCTTATAACCAAATAAAAAAAAACCCTGTCACGATAATATAAGTCCCTCCGAACTTTGGAAGTTCATTATATTTGGAAGTTTTACTGATGACTTATCAGGGCATCTCCGTGGCCACATCTGGCAAGACACCTACTGATATAGTTTTTTGGGTAGAAGATAACGGGGTATTAGATACCCCGGGGAAAATATTGGCTATATGGAAAGAATATAGCAAACGATCTTTAAACGATTCATTCATACACCACTGTGGATTCAATATCGTTTAGAAGTGATATTATATTTTTTTGGACCTCATAATTGTAATAGTTATGCCAGATTATGACTATACCTATCCACATTGTATTATATTCATTTTATTCCTTTATCTCTTTCTTTCTTTTTTTTAAAAAAATTGCGCCCTATTATTATAATTGTTATAGTTATCTCTTATCATGACCTTATGTTATTTTCTTTCTATTCTTCCCATAAAATGGCGAGTTTGTATGGACCCCTTCTACCACTCCACTCACTTTCTTTTTCTTCGCCTTACTACTTAAGGGTTTACAGAAAACGAAACTATTTCTCTTTCGAGCAATATCATTATGCGAACAATGTACCATATCTTTGGTTCTTCTGTCACAGCTATTGGGATCATAAGCGACATCCATAAGGGCGGAACTATTAGAGCCGCAGGTAGCTCTCTCCAGCCTAGCTATAACGTCTTCCAGATACGGTAAATGTCTTGTCAATCCCAAGGTATTAGTATCGGGGGTGGTGGTTCCTAAGTTAGCCATCTTTTTCTTGTTAGAGGCCGAAGATGAAGAGGCGGTAATCGTTTCCGGTATGGAAGAAAGCAATTTAAACTCTTTCAGAACGTTTCCCAAACTTTTCAGCGAATTGGTTCGACTCTCGCGCAAAGCCGATTTAATCGCAAAATTTTTAGGCGAAGGAAAAGACGCCTTTTTGGTCAAGCAATATTCGAGCGATTTCTCTAGGTCTTTGCCGCTATCCTCAGCGGAGAAGGGGTTCCATACTAAAGGTCCTAAAAAAACACCGGAAGAGATTAAAATTGATTATGTCCTAATAGAAGTAAAAGAAAAATTAATAACCGTAATCTGGTGTTTCAGAACTTTCCTACTAATATCATACTCGTTCGGGGACGAAATTGTGGTTCAATTAATTTATGCAAATAATTTAAAAAAAACCGTAAGTCTGGGGATCGCTGGATACCAAGGTGACTAAGGTGAGGCAAACTTTCCAATACAATTTGACCACGGAGACCCCCACATTCGAGCACTGGTATTCGTCGATGTCCTTGAACTTGTTCCCGAACTCCTTGAAACAATTCTGAACGGGTAACACTGTCAAGGAGAGCAGACCGTCCTGCAATCCCAGAAATCTTTCGGTCGTAAGCGGGGGATCGTTTGGCGGATCAGTGGGCCAGGTAAATATTTGTTGGTCTGAATAAAAATAAGACATATTTTATTTTTAATTTAAATTGGAGAAATTTAAAAAAAAAAATATTTTGAACAACAGTCACTCACTGGAATCATTTTTTTTTCCCAATTAACTGGAACAGAGGGCTTAAAATGAAAATTCGGGTAGCCTAAAAAATAAATAAAGCAACAAATTGAATTTGCAGAATTCTAGGTTCTGTTATCTGGTCGGGAAATTTTAGGGCGGTTTCGAGTGTTCTAAGTTTAGGTTCTAAATTCTGTAGCGATAAAAAAAAATTTTTATCGATAACCCTTTAAAATGTATCGCGCAACATTTAAAAAATAATACGACCAATCAAATTTAGGTTCGTCGTTAATTGAGCCACGTTTGTCAGTTTTGGCGGGTATTATTTATTGGTTTAAAGTTTGGAAATACCCTAAATAAAAAAATGGGAATTTACCTAAAAAAAATAGTGACCTAAATCATTTTTTCGAATTTAGAAAAGTTTATTAATTTTTTTTAAAGTTGGAAAAATTATAAAAAAAAATTTAATCAATTTTAGCCTTAGTTTTTAAAAAGTTGTGAAATTTTTTAAGATAAAAAAAAAGAAGTAAGCAAAATTAATGAATATTTTTTTCAAAATTATTAATAAGAAATGAATAATTTGGTAGAAATTATAAATTTTAAAATTCACAAAAATTTAATGTAAGATTTTGGACACGTTTCATAATTTTATAAAGTTACGAAAGTTTTGAGACCTTTTTAAAAAATATATTTCGGGCATAGCCTTATTTAAGGTAAAAATATCGAGACTAGAAGTCGGAGATAAGCGTAGTGCCCAAACCCTAACCCAGCTAACGAAGCCTAAAACTAACGAAATGTTTGTTATTTGGTAAATGACAGTTTGGAGTGGAATTAAGGGACAGTCGCGAGAGACATGTTGATCATAATCGACCAGAATCGGACATTTTAACAATACTAGTTTCTAAATTAACTATTGGTATAAAATAATAGAATTCTAACAATATCGGTTTTAAAAAAATTGTGGAAGTAAGGGTGGGACTTCTGGCTAACTGACATAAATGTGCTGGACAAAAAGACCCGGACAAAAGTACCCAGTACAGAAATACACTGTAAAAACATAGCTAAGGACAACAAGACATAGATCAATAATACCATTTCCTCTTATTCAAAATCAAAACTTGGCATTTAATCAATAAAAAATTTGGACCGGTCCAGACCTAACAACATCTTTTGTTTAAAATTGTTCTCATAAAAAAAAATTGATATGACTTAGAGTTAAAATGCCTTTTTATAGAGGAGATACTCAACAAAACTATTTACCAGACTGGACAGAAATATTCCCGACTTGAGCATAAAATTCTATTTAAGGGCCAATTTTAGCCAACCCATACCGAATTTCACTGTTTATAAAAAAAAAATCTAGTCCGGGAATAATCAAATTGAGATCGTAAAACTAGAGATCACCTTTGAAAAAGCTGGCATCGATAGACCAATTAGATTTGGGAACGACACTGCTACCTTCCCCGCTGACGTTCTGCTGTAGCCGATATTGAATCGATAAGGACGATCGATTGAACAAAGTGTGAATGGCGTTCAATACTGCTTCCTTAACGGATATATCCCAGAAATTTTTGGCGCATTCGCAAATATGGTGGATAGTTTCGAGGTTAACCGGGCTTTGCCGGGTGAGGAATTGCAGGCACAGCTGTTTTTCCAGGCTATGTTCGAAGGACTGAGACGATACCGAGTTAGGATTTGGGTTGCAAGAAAAAGCGGGAAGATTCAACTCCTTGAGGAAGAGGAGTGTTTCGGATTCCGATAGGTAGTAGAGTTTAACGAGTCTTCCGATATAAAGAATTAGGGGGGGGGGAGGGGTGAGTGTATTTGAAAAGTATTATATAAAATCACAAGGTTTGGTTGTTGGATAAATCCCTTCAATAAAAAGCAATAGCTATAGTTGTAGGGGGGGGGGGGGGGTTGGATAACAATAATACTAGCCCTAGATTATCGGATCTGAGCTTACTTTTACTATTATTTTGAATAAATACGATCTTATTTGTATATGTTAGGGTTCATTCCTATAATCAAGCTTTATAAGTGACCTTAAAAATCAGGCAATACATTTTAAGGGGGGGAAAAAAATCTCATTTTAAATCATTCATTATTCGCGTTTATCGACCATATTATTAATTTCTGTTTGACAATCAGCACAATCCAAAAAAATAATAATTATGAATTCTTTCATTGAATATAAGAAACTTTTATTGTGGTTAAAATTAAGTTAAATATGTATATCTATGTAAGTTAAAAAATTACTAATATCACTAACATAAATCGGTTTTTTATCTGTATAATCAATCTAAAATATATATATATATTGGGAGTGGGACATATTAATCTATTAGCAAATTTGTTTAATTTATTAACTATAAATATTACATTTTTTTTTATTTTGATTTACATACATAATAAAAGTCCATAAAATGGGGACAGAGGAAATCTAAATCTTGTTTATAATAATATTTAGTTTTAGATCATTAAAATTATATTTAAATTATTATACCAAAATGACTACGAAATTTTTATTAAAGATCGCTAAATTTTCGTAGAAATCGTATACAATCGTTTTAGTATAAATTTAAATACAATCAAACAGGGCATGCAAGCTGAACCGAATGCAAAAACTAGAATTCCTTTATGCCCCTAATATGGATTATTTCTATTATATCGATCAGTAAATAAATAAACGAAAAAAAAATAGAAAGAAAGAACTTACGAATCGACGAAAAACTTTTCTTCATTGCCGACCATAGAATTGTTATTACTACTATCATCCATACCTATGTCATCGGAAGGGGTTGAAGATCCTTTAATACTCCTGTAGAAAGGTATAACTTTGTGGCACAGCCAACTAACGGAGAGGGTTCTCATTTCGCGCAATTCAGATTTGAAATCGCGTAATTGCGATGTTACCTTATTATATTATTAAACGATTGTTAGGTAAGCCTGTAGTTATTGAGCCATTTATTATTAATATATATTTAACGCTAACAAAATTTGCGATTTCTACGCGCTTGACCAATCAAACGCTGGTTCCACTTACCAGCCCTTTATTAATTTTTAAAAAATTTACGATAGCTAAAAATCTAATTTTTATGATCAAAAATTTAATAGAAAATTATAAACAAGAATTAATCCCTAATAACAAGAATGGATTTCATCCAAAGAGACGTTTCTTTTATACATAAATATTACATGTTTAGTGGATCTTTATGGCTTTTTAACCTTAACCTCGTCGAGAAGGTTGGTCGAAAAAAAAGGAAGGCTGTCCCACTGAAGATCGAACAAGAGAAAATAATTTATAGCAAAATATAGATAGCTCAATGGGAACTCATTTACCCAATCTTTAAAATTGAGGCGTTTCATTCTTGATCCTTTCTAAAATTAAATTTAAATATCAGATCGCATACTTGCGAATTTTGGTCGTCCACAATTTCCGGCGGATTAGGATCATTGGATCGGGACTGAATCCATTGCAGGTATGATTCTTTGATGAAAGGAGTGAATGTTAGGTAGGAATTGAAAGTCAGGAGTTCTATCAACGAGCTTAAAAAACGGTCCTGTTGAGGGTTCAAAAAAATATTTAAATCATTTTTTTCAAAAGGCCATTTACTTTGGTTAAGGCCTTAAAATCAGGCTAAAATTTGAATGTTCCATAACAGTCAACTTAAAAGACTTTATAGGCGTTAGTTATGTCAGGTATCAATCAATTAATGGTTTTTATTTTCACTGATTTTTATGTTACATTTTTAGTTTTTATATAAAAAAACAACTACTTACTACTTAAAACCTTATTTATAAAAATAAATATAAAAAAAGACTTTATTTTTCTTTTCCTTCTTTCTGTTTCTTTCTTTCTCTTTTTTATCTAAAAAAAATTATGGATAAACTAACCATAGCCTATTCAAAAAAAAAAACTAATACCAATCAAATAATATAATGTCCGTATTCAATCCGTTCGAACATATCGAATTTATTACTATTCGAATTTGCACGAATAATAAAACTTACTATTCGATTCATATAATTAGAAAATGGTATTAGTTAGTGATGTTAAGGTAATATTATATTTATTTACAAATGTAGCACAATATATTTTTTTCCGTCAAGTAACAAGCATTGGAACTTCATATCATACGTAATAAAAAAAATTTTTTAGTATAAGGAAAAACAAAGACAGATTATTTTAGAATTTAATATTAAATTATTAATCATTACTTACAAGAACCATGTCTAACAAAAGCATAAGAACATGACTCAAATTTAAAAAAATGATTGCTTTCTGAAATTTATTTTTTGGTCTAGCCTGAATTTTATTTATATTCAAATTATATATAAAATAGACACATTTTAGAACTGTATGTTTCACTCTAATTGATTATTCTATTCCTAATTTAGATAGTGCTATTTATATTTATCTCCTAGATGGAAGAAACAGAATACAATATGGATATGGATTCTGAGTCAGATGAAGAAATTATACTTTCTCCTACAATAATTGCAAAAAAAAATGACCTTCCTTGGCCAAGTTTTGAAAAATATTTTGAATACCACAAGGCTGGTAATAATACTAATATTATTGTCAAATGCCTCTTATGCCTACCATATAAAAAGTATATTGCAGCATCTAAGTCATCCACAGCTAATTTATGGAAACATATCTCTGTAAGTTTATATAAATTGTATTAATATTATATAGAATAATTAAATGAATTAACTTTATAACAATAATTAATATTAATTAATTATTTATATATATAAAACATATATCTATAGAGAAAGCATCCTAACCAATCCGTAAATATAAAACAAACCATAGATAATAAAAAAAACAATTCAGCCACATCAAGTAAGTTAAAACAAACTAAACTTGACTTTGGTGGAAAATCAAATTTTAAAGGTATCAGCAAAGATAAATTTGATTCACAAATTATTAAATATATAATAAATGGAAATCACCCATATACAACCTGTGATGATGAAGATTTTGTTGAGCTGATAAACACCCTGCAACCTAATATGAAGATTATATGCAGACAAACCTTAACCTCAAGAATATCAAAATATTTTGTTCAAATGAAAGATATTCTAATAGAAAAATTGTTAGAGCCTAATTATGTTTGTACAACAGCTGACTGCTGGACAGCATTTAATCGGTAAATATTATTTTTTACTAAAGTGCACAATACATTTGGTTATCTTTTGTTATATTAATAATAGCTCCTATATTGGTATAACAGTGCATTGGATTGATGTGGAGAAATTGGAAAGGCGTTCAGCTATTCTAGCCTGCCAAAGACTACAAGGTAGGCATACATATGATGTGATCATCAAAGCCTTAACTGCTGTTTTTAAGGAGTTCCATATCCAAAATAAAAATATCTGCACAATAACGGATAATGCTAGCAACTTTTCAAAGGCGTTTAGGTATGCCTAACTAATTTATTTTATAAATTATTTCTCTTAGAGTATTTAGCTGCCCATCTATTATAATGGAGGAAGATTCTGTTTCTGATATTGAATATATCTCAATAGAAGATATAATGTCTTCTTCTGGGCTCTCCAGTTATGATATTAATGACTTCGACTACCTTCCCAAGCATCAAAGATGTTCTTGCCATACATTAAACTTAGTGGCAACACAAGATGCCAACAAGTTACTTTTAAACAATGAGGGGTATAGGAAAGTTTATAACTTAGCTATATCTAAATGCCAACGTTTGTGGAACCTCCAAAATAAATCTGGGCCATCTGCCGAACTTATTTTAAAAAAATTACATTATCAACTTCCATATCCCGTTATAACAAGGTGGGGTTCCTTTTATAAATCCCTGGCCAAAATATTATCGTTCTTAAATCAAGTGCCTGTGGAATTTGATTCATTATGTGATGAATTAAAATTGTGTAGATTCACATCAGATGATCGTGATTTTATAAAAGAATATTGTAGTGTAAATTTAAATTAAAGTCTTATAAAAATTTACAATTTAAAAATTAGATTATGCGACTAGTGTCCAAAGCCATTGATATTCTTGAAGGTGAAAAGTACATGTATCTGGGTTATTATACCCCAACAATAACACAAATAATTATATGTATGGCAGATGTGCAGGTATTAAAATATTGTCAACCTCTAAAGGATTTTATATTAGCTAGTATTGAAAAAAGGTAACTTAAATCAAATAATTATTTATAAATTAATAATATCATGTTATAGGTTTAATAATCTTTATGATAATGACAACATCATTGCTTCAATTCTTCACCCTTTATTTAAAACTGACTGGCCTTGGATTAGGCAAGAAAGGAATAAAGCAAAAAAGGAGGAAATTTTAAATTTAATAAATACCTTAATACCTCAGAGTGAATCCCAGACGAATGAATCATGCTCAAAACCAACATCACTTGATGTAGTTGGATTTTTTGACCTAAAGCGCCAAAATATTCTGGATAATGAACTTATAGAAAACTTTATCAAATCTAATAACAACACGTTTTCTTTATATAACGATTTTCCAAAGTTAAAATTACTCTTTATTAAATATAATGTTGTTCTAACATCAAGTGCTCCCGTAGAGCGCATGTTCAGTCTAGGTAAGCTCATATTTGGAGATAAACGAGCACGTCTTCTAGATAATAACTTTGAAATTAATTTGTTGTTAAAAGCAAATAAACATTTATTAGATTCTAATTTTTATGAAAAATAAATGTTTTTTTTTCAATGCAAATATATATTTTTGTATTCGATGTAAATATTCAATTTTGCGATATTTTTTATATAAATAAATTGTATATTATTTAATAACTGATTATACTTTGTTTTTTTTATATTAAATAAATGTCAATAAATAAATAATGCGCATATGAATGATGCATAAAGTAAGTAACTAGTTACTTTTGAAAATAACTGTAACTAATAACTAGTTACTTTTGTAAAAATGTAACTAGTAACTGTAACTAGTTATGTTTTTGCCAATGTAACTAGTAACTGTAACTACTTATGTTTCAAAAGTAACTTTTAACATCACTAGTATTAGTATATGTACATGATTCAATTTGTTAGATATAGATAAAGATATCCGAATATGAACAATTCATTATTCAATTCGTATATTCGGAAAAAAAATTCTAACTTTGAGCGTTGAGTCTAATTCTATCAAGGGTTGGTAAACATCGGTCCCAGTCAAATTTACGTTGAGCAGCGTTTTGGCGAAGGTGGAATAGTCGAATTTATATTTGACGGTCCTGGTGATTTCCTTATAAAGGGCTTTGAGAGCCCGAACGTAATCTTCTAGGTTGCAAAGAAGAGCCAGAAATACTTGTGCCAACGTCTTGAGGAATTTTTCGAAATAAAAACGAATAAAATATAATCAAAATCGGAAAAATGGACGCCGGTGAGTTTTTGAGCCCCAAATATCTACATGTCTTTACAGAATAAACCTACCAAACATATTGGTTGTAATCTTTCTTTCTTTCTTTCATTTTCTCTTTCTTTCTTTCTTCCGTTTTTTAAAAATACTGACAGGTTGGGGGAAAATCCCTTCTAAAAATCTCGTAAATTATAATTGACGTTTTTTTGAGACAAAAATGTGTTTAATTTAAGAGTTGGGAATTTAATAATTAACGATTTCAAACAGTTTTCTTTTATGTACGACCTTACGAGGGTCTTGCCGCGAGACTGAAGCAGTGAAAGTCAACGGCTGACCTTAAGTAGAATATAAAGGCAAACAATTTTCAATTTGAATTTTATTTAAACACAAAATTTTACGACAAGCCATGGAGAGGGTTGAGAGAAAATTAAAATAATTCGGAACGAAAAAAAGGAAAGAAAAGAAGATGAATATAGAGAGAGGGAGGAAAATTCCCTTGTTTGGATCCGAATCAACCCCGGCCCAATTTTTAAGGCACGGGGCAAAATGGCCAGTCTCCAAGTCTATCAAATTTTCCATCAAGTTATTTTAATAAAAAGAGAATTTTTGATATAAGGGATCCTAAAAAAATACCTGAGCAGAACTGAACGAACAAAGCCGAACACAAAACTCGATGAGTGCAGTGTTATTAGGATTACGAGAGCTGGATAGTTCGTTTAAGACTATGAGTTTGAAGGCCGAAGAAAATATGTCGCTATTTATTTCGCGTTTAGTAGTGTCGACGAGAAGCAGGTTTCTATGGTTTTATTTTTTAAAAAAAAATTTTTTTAAATATATATATATATATAATTTAATATTATGTGCTAAAAAAATATATATTTCCTAAAAAAATATAAATTATTTCTTCAATTTTTTTTTATTTTTTTAGGTCATTTTTCCTACATTCTCTGTTTTAATAAATAATATTTCAATAGTAATCTGAATTACTTATTTTATAATTTTCTGACATATTTTATAACAATATATAAATTGTTATATCTTTAAAATATTTTTAATTTTTGGGAAAGTAATTAAAGATTCTTCTATCTGCTGAAACTATCAGCAATATAAGATTTGCAATCTAATTTTTTAAATAGTTTCAAGTTTTTAAAAGGGGGTATATCATTAAATTATTTTTTTTCCTGGCATCCCCCTCCTTTAAGACCTGGCGTAATTACCTTCCAAAATAGGTAAATATGAATATTAAAAAAATATATATAACATTGCTTAACAATAAAATAAAACAAATCACAATTATATCAAGTATATGAAATATATTATGGATCTAAAGAAATTTTTTTTAAAAATAACAAATAAATAAAACAATCATTTTTAAAAATATATATATTATGTAATTTGAAAACTCTAAACAAGTCATGTAATGTTGGAGAAGGCCTGGCTTGTTGGTTTTTTGAAACCGTATTTTGAGCAAAATGGCTAAGCATTCTTGGTCCTCGGGAGCTTCTCCGTTCATGTTGCAGCAAAGAGTCGCGAGTAGATCTTGAGCCGTACCGACAAGCTGCCAATTTGTTTTCATAGTAAAAAAAAATTTTTTTTTAAAAAAATTCGTTAATGAACTTTTCGTTTCAATTTCTTCGATCTACAACAAATAACTGTTTTATAAAAAGATATCGTAATGAAACCAAATGAGTTCATTGGATTTATAAGAAACTATTCTATATATTATGTGGTTTGAAACCGGAACCCCTGGAACTCTCAAAAAACTGTAGCAGCTCTAGCAATCATCAACCCTTTTCTTAAAATTTATATAAAAGATCAGTTTACAAGCAAAAGTGCACGTAGTTTACATACGTAAATTGTTCAAAAAGTTGTGTAATTTCATTTTGCAATTTATTGAATTATTTAAATTATTTTTTTTGTGCCCTTAACAAAATTTGGGAACCGGAAAAGGACCCTCAAAACCACGTCAAATTTAAAAACCGGAAACCTATTTTTCAAAATTTTAGCCCATTTTGTCCTAAAAAGTTCATGTTCCGAAAATCTGACTTGATAAATTATTTTAATCCATTTAAAAATTATTAGTAGTAGAGTATTCATCTTATGGCTCAATAAATAAATGTCGAAAACAAACCTTAGGATTTTGAAGCCAATTCTCGATTCTTTGCATAGCCATGAGCCTGACTTTTGGGTAGCAACAAACTTTCATCAAGAATTTCAAGAAATGTTTGGACGGATTCTCCATGGCGGAGGGCAGTATTGGAGTGCTGGACATCAATTTGCCGCTGTTCAAGGAAGCGTTAGTCAGGTAATCCGAAGCCGAGTGAGTTACAAAGGTTTCTATATGAGGTTGAAGCGTCAGGTATCTTCGGAAAAGGAAAATATGGGAGCAGGGAGATAAATATGTTTACTCGTGAATAATAGTAATGTTTAAAAGCCTTCCATTTTTAATAATTTAGGGGAAAAAAAAACTAAATAAATAGTTTCTATTCTAAGTATTGCATCGCCCAATATGGATAACAATAATAAATATAAAATAATTAAGCATTTTTACCGAGGAAAAATGGGAAGATTTTCGTTCAATTTTGGCAATTGTGGTTTATCTTTAGTGTTTAAAAAAAATGGTAAACAAATCAGAAGTTGATTATATATATATATATTATTAGCAATTGGCATTATAAACTTATTTTACATGTTTAAAATGATAGTCTTAGATGAAACCTCACAATGTATTGGGTTGTTAGATTTTTTTTTTTTCGAAATGTTGACAATTATTTCTAGTGGAGATAAAGTTGTTTTACTTACAAATATATTAAAATAACTTTATTTGCAAGTGGATTAACAACACTGTATGTAATAATTAATTTAAAACAACTGTTAGAAATCTGGCTAAAATATATATAATATTACCACCAGCTATAGGGATCGAAGAAAGTTTGGTGTTAAAAGCAGTGGTTATATTGTCAACATAGCTTTTGCATTCGATGTTATCAACCCACATTCTTTCGTGCATAGCATCTTCAACGTATACCTTTGTGCAAAAAATTTTTTATTCAAAGAATGGGACATTTTTAACAATTAATTGTATTATTTACAAATAGCTAATATTAACTCTAAACCTTCTATACAAAATGTATCTTACATAATGAAGATGCATACTTTTATAAATAGTTCTGGCCAATCTTCTTCATCTATGTAAGCCACACATAGAATATTGCAAATTACAACAGATAAATTGGAAAAATGTGAAAATTTTGCCTTGCTTTGGTGGCTCATTAAAGAGGTTGCTGTCGTTGATTGAACCAAATTATCTCTATGAAGCAATGAGCAAAATGCCTAACATAAAATAAATATAATAAGTAGGGTTGAGTCAATCCACAAATTTTCCACTCATCTCAATATGTATATAAAAACAATCTGCTAACCAATATCAATCCAATATTTACATTTTTACCATCTATTTTTGATTAATGTCATAAAAATAAATATTTTTTAAGCAAGAAATAAACTATAATATAATTTAAAATACATTGATAAAATAACCAAAAACAATTAAAATATTAAATTAAATTAATTTTTTTTTTGAAAATATAGCCCAGTCCAAATTGTTTTTAAATGGCAAATATTATAAAATTTGTTAAATCATCATATAAGAATTGTTAGTCAAAAATATTTGGATTATTTAAAAAAAATTGTTTTTTTACCTCCAAAATTTCTTTGTGGAAAAAGAATGCTGGGTAATTTTTTGCTAACCCCATGAGTGAAAGTGACAAAATTTGGTTAAGTTCTGGTTTGACTTGGTAATTTAACCCAAGTGCAATCGATGATGCTGATGGTGTAACAAATTTTTTTAGACACTTAATGGCTCCTAAAATGAGGTGATCACAAAGTTCATTATTATTTGATTCCTTGGCTTTTACAACTCTCTCCAAAAACTCTGATATCGGGACTGTTAACAAATAAATATATATCATATGCAATTTATTATTATCATCTATGACATAATATTTTATTAATAAAAAATAAAATAATAAATATTTAAAAAGTATTTGCACCTTCTTTAGCTTTATGTTCATAAGATGATAATATTTTCGATACATTTAATGTAGGTAGGATAGCCTTTGCAGGTACATCTGTGATAAAAAATATAATGTAAATCACTTAGATAATAAAACTTAGTGAGGGGTATTTAACGTATCCTTTATTAGTAGTCTTGTTTGTACCAACAAAGGTACCTGATGGTCGTTCTGAACTTGTTCCAGATTTACTACCGAGTGCAATTAAGTCACCGGTAGGCTGATGACCTTTTTGTATTTTAGAAAAATATTTAAACTAAATAAAATAAAAAATTGCCTTACTTTTATTTTTTGCTATTCCTCTTTTCATAATTTTTATTTAAAAAATTTATAAAGTGATAGGCGTATTTTATTGGAAATGTGTTAGGAACATATGTAATGTGGTTGGTACATCTTTGTGGAAAATATCATCTGGCAAAATTTTGCTTTCAATTTTTTATTACCATTATTATTTTAAATATACTTACCAATATTTTTCTGTAAATTTTTAATTATAATGATTAATTTTTAATTTGTCCATTTTCTTAAATTGTGTAATTAAAAACTTTAATTTATTTGATAAATTCTTTAATTTATTTAATAAATTCTTTCTAAAACAAATTGATTATCTAAAATTTAAAAATTTCCAAATTAGACTTACACTTTATTTTTATATCCCTAGATATACTATGATTATATTTTAATGGTGATGTCATACAGGAACAGATTTTAACAAAAATCTTCAAATGATGAACTTTTGAAGATTTTTTCTTAAAAAAATTTTGTGCACGCTCAAAGTAGATTTTTGAGCAAAATGAAAAAATATTTTTTGTAAAAAAATCTTCATTGAGCTTGTTAAAAAATGTTTTTATAAAAATATTTGAAAAATCTTGAAAATTTTTTAAAATTCTTTTTTAAACAAATACATCAAAGTGTAAATCAAAGAAGCTTTTTTTATAAAAGACATTTTTAATGTTCTTTGTGCATGCTCAAATTTTTTTTTTACAAAAGAACAAGAATCTTTGAAGATTTTTGAATTTTGAGAGAATGTTTAGCCCCTTTACAAGAAAATATTTTGGCTTGTTATCTTAGATTGTATCTAAAAAATTTGATTGATTAAAGGTGCAGCTCTATTTGGTAAATAATCAGATGTTAAATTAGGGCTGGCTAATTAAATTATCAGACCCATTTTTATCTTAAATAAATATATTTTCAAAAATTCCTATTTACTAGTATTATAAATATATTTATTATATAATATATATATACTATATACAATAAATATTATATTTATATAATATTAAAAAAATAAAATGATATTTTAATTCAAAAACATAATCAATTTTGTGAATTGTTTTAATCGATTTTGTTTTTTTTTTAAATTTATTTAACAATATTATCGATAAAATTGACATATATATTCTATAAACACTAAAATCCTTTTTTTAATCTAGAAGAAATTATTAATTTATAAATTAAGAAAATATATAATTTTATCAATTTCTGGGTTTTTAATAATAAAAATTTTATTGAGTTTTCCTTTTTCTTTAATTAAAATACTAATATTTATAGAGATGCTATCAATCATTAGGTGTAAAACAACAGTTGAACTTTTTTGCCAATTATTTATCTTCTATTCATTTTGATGATAGTAATTATTAAAGCAACTACTTCCATTACTATGTTTATTAACCTATTAAGAGCTCTTCTTTTTTATAGTAAAGGATGAGGATACTATAAAAATAATAATAACTCTCCTTTTTTACCCCCCTTTTTGGGTTTTATATTCCACTTATCTGCCTCTACTTATTACAACACTCTCAAGATACATTAGGATCCTATCAAATATAAACCTATAATATAGCATAAATATAAACTTGAATTCCTTATATATTTTATTTACGCTAATTATCAGCATTTCTCTAATTCCTTTTATTAAAAAAAACTAGTAGAAAGCCCGTCAAAAATGACGGGGAATGAGATTTTTATTCATTTTTTACGAAAGATGTCATGCCAGGATCAAGCTCACAATATTAGGAAGCATCCAAGATCTTATAATTTAAAAAAAGTTTATCAAGCCCAGCTCAACCCTTAATAATTTGTAAAAGATATTCCCAAGTCAGGTGCAAGCTAATATTAATTTTGAGGTTCCAAGCCCAGTCTTACCCATTATAATTTTGAAAATTTTTTCCCGCCTCGGAGATAGTTAAATTTTTAATATCATCTCATGAACGGGAAATATCTGATTTACCAATTAGTCTAATATGGAAAAAAAAACATGTAAACTCCGTATTAAGGGAAACTGGGAAGGCCTGGGCAACGACTTATTAGAGAATCATGACAAATAAAATAAAAATAACCGACTCTTATACTTTTTTGTAATATGAACATTAAAATTATATCTAAAAAAAATGTTGTTTATTATATAAAGTTATTGTTGTTTTTCAGATAAATTTAATGTATGTCTTGCATTTCTGAAATTATTTATCAAAGAATTTGATAAGGGATATATATTTTTTTATGTTAAGTAAAAAAAAATGCTGTCTATTTAAATTACAAAGATGCCATTAAACGCTAATGAAACTTATATGCAAATTATTTATATATTTTTTAAGATATTTTTTTTTATTGACATATAAATTTAGGATAATTTTTTTAAAAAATAATGAGGAATATTTATTATGTATTTGATAAAATTAAGAGCAAATCCTTGTTGACATTTTAATTTTTGATGGAAAAAGTTAAATCTGGGCGGTCGTCTGGAGAGGAAATAATTAATATATAATTTCATATCATTTAGGGTTGTAGATGAAAGTAATGACGGATTACCAAAGCAGTGTACAAAACACAATACTTCCTGATAAAGATGATATGCATATGAATGCAAAACGATATTTCTGTCAATGTCAGCATTGGTATCCCCCTCTAAAATAGAATCATGAACGACAATGTTAACTAAACCATAAAACGGTCGTAAGTATTGTTATAAAGGCCATGACAGAACTACTGCATATTTTTCCATTAATAAAGTGATGAAATTGGCTGTACTGTACATTCAAGTTTGAACATGCAAAACGATATTTCTGTCAATTTCAGAATTGGTATCCCCTTCTAAAATAAAATCATGAACGACAATGTTAACTCAACCATAAAACGGTCGTAAGTATTGTTATAAAGGCCACGACAGAAATACTGCATATTTTTCCATTAATAAAGTTGATGAAATTGGCCGTACTGTACATTCAAGTTTGAACATTCCTCTAAATATTCATGAAAGTTTCTCAGAGAATCGTATAAAGTAATAATTATATTAACTCCTAGTAAAGTGAATGATAGTACAGAATTAAATGTTTATATTTGTTAAAAAATAGGCGGAGGTGGCATAGGGATTGTGGTAGTGTTGGAGAACTGGGTGAAACTAAAATAAACATAGATATAAAACATAAGATAAAAAAAACAAAATAAACCTCCAGATGAGTTCATTTCAAGCGTAGTTCTTTATTATTTTGTCTAACAGTAACTCTAGAACGGGTAAGGCGTTTGTTTAATCTTCATTATTTTATTTGAATATCTTTAATAATAGATTTATCATGTTTTGTAGCAATGTGAGGGATTAGAGTTAGCCTAGACAAATAAAGAAATCAGGCAAAAATATAAATAAACTATTGTTGAAATTAAACAAACATTAAAATAATGTAAAACCTGTAGATGGGTCTATATTATATGCATATTTCTAATAGTTGGAGGGCTATCATCAAAAAAAATTTTGGGGGACTTATCAAGCCTATTATGATATTCTAAAAGTTAAAAAATAACATGATAAATGTAATGTTATTAAGATTAAGGTTAATAATGTAAGGTAAATAAAAAATAAGATTAAAAAAGGGAGGGGGGAAAGAAGGTATAAATTTTTATATTATAAAAATAATAAAAATTAAATTAAAGGAATTGATAAAGTTTGGCTATCAACAGGAAAAATTTTTGGGGGGACTTATCTAGCCTTTTATGATATTCTAAAAGTTAAAAAATAATATGATGAATGTAATGTTATTAAGATTAAGGTTAATTAATTGTAAGGTAATTAAAAAATAAGATTAAAAAAGGGGAGAAAAAAGAAGGTATAAATTATTTTATTATAAAAATAATAAAAATTAAATTAAAGGAATTGATAAGGTTTTGAGAAATAGTGGTTAATAGATAATAGAGATAGAAAGAAAAGAATGAGATAATAAAATTTAGTGATAAATAAATTCATAAGGGAGGGTAAAAAAATAAAGAAAAAGTTATTTATAAGGATTGGAGATTATAAATAGGTTAGGATAAGAATATTTAAATATTTGAATTTACTTGGTTATCTTCTTTATTATTGGTTATGAAAGAAAAATATGAATATAAAAAGATTTCATTAATGTGTAATTGATAATATGAGATGAAAATTGATATGGTAATCTAAAAATAAAGAAAGGATTAAGTGAAATAAAAAGTTTCATTCACATTTACAAATTTGAGGGAATATTGTTTTTAGCAATTCATCCATGTTAGGTATGTGTACATGTAAACCATCAATTCCATTCAACTGTATGAATAAAATAAAATAAAATCAACAAATAAAAATAAATACGAACCGATGACATGACGTCACGATGACATGCCGTCACGATGACGTAGTGAGGACATCGGAAAATTATAATATAGATTGGGGGTTTTTTATTCTTTTTGAGATATCCTTAATTCCGATGATCAGTGGTGTCACTAGGAGGGGGGGGGGGGGAGGGAATCGAGCCCCCTAAAAAATTCGAATAGCCCCCTGAAGCAATTTTTTAATGGAATTTCAACCCTTTGAACTAAAAATAAATTATTTTGATTGCCTCCTGAACAATTTCTTTTATAATTCTATTAAGTAATATATAGATTTAATTTTCTTATTTAAAAATTAATAAGGCTGTCTAAATATTTATTAAATGAATACTATTTTAAATATTAGAATAGATTAATACATATAAATTATATTTTCACTATGTCCGCTTGCAATCGAATTTAAAAATAGAATAATAACTCCTAAATATTAATTTGACATTAACAGTTGAAACTTAATTGACTATTATTATTTAAATTATTATATATCCCTAATTAAATTAAATAATCATTTATTAATTGAAATATAAAAAAATTTATATTGTAATTAGCCGAGTTCAAAATGAATAATAAACTGTATATTTATTTTTAAATTTTATTATCATACCTATTCCTAAAAAAAATTTCAAGGTCCAAATAAGTATAATATAGATAAAATGTAACTTATTGATGTATTTGACATTTATATAATATAATATAGTTAATATTAACATAAATTTTACAATTAAATGCTTATTTAATAATAAATATA